GGGTTCTTTCCCACCACCTTGAAGGAGGCAATGGTGAGACCCCTCCTTAAGAAGCCTTCCCTGGACCCAGCTACTTTAACCAGCTATCGTCTGGTCTCCAACCTCCCATTTGTAGCGAAGGTTGTTGAGAGTGTACTAGCACGTCAACTTCCCCAGTACCTGGACAAAGCTGCCTACCTGGATGCATTTCAGTCAGGTTTCAGGCCTGGGTACAGCATGGAGATGATATTGGTCGTGTTGGTGGATGATCTCTGGTGGGCCCGGGACAGGGGTTGCTCCTCTGTCCTGGTCTTATTAGACCTCTCGGTGGCTTTCGATACCATTGACCATGGTATCTGATTGTGACGACTTGTAGGGTTGGGAGTGGGGGGCACCGTTTTGCAGTGGTTCTCCTCCTACCTCTTGGATCGATCACAGTTCGTGTTGACTGGAGGGCAGAGATAGACCCCAAGGAGCCTCACTTGTGGGGTGCCCCAGTGGTCGGTTCTCTCACCCCTCCTGTTCAACATATATATGAAACCACTGGGCGAGATCATCCATGGTTTTGGGGTACGGTATCATCAATACGCTGATGATACCCAACTTTTCATCTCTACCCCAAACCACCCCAACGATGGCCTCGACGTGATGTTCTGGTGCCTGGAGGCTGTGTGGACCTGGGTGGGGATGAACAGGCTCAAGCTTAATCCCTTCAAGACTGAGTGGCTGTGGTTCCCATCAGCCGAATTTGTGCATCATGTACCATCTTTGATGATAAGGGGAGAAATTTTAGCTCCCTCAGAGAGGGCCTGCAATCTGGGAGTCCTCCTTGATACGCAGCATAGTTTAGAAGAACATCTTACAGCCGTGACCGGGGGGGTGTGTGTCTTCTACCAGGTCCGCCTGGTACACCAGTTGCACCCCTTCCTGGATCAGGATGCCCTGTGCACAGTCACTAATGCCCTCGTCCTTTCCCTCCTGGCCTACTGTAATGCTCTCTACATGGGGCTGCCCTTGAAGAGCACCCGGAGGCTCCAGCTGGTCCAGAATGCGGCCGCGCGGGTTGTCATGGGGGTACCTAGGTGCTCTCATGTTACAGCCCTTTTAGGCAGCCTGCACTGGTTGCCTATTGTTTTCCGGGTGTGATTCAAAGTGTTAATTATGATCTTTAAAGCGCTCCATGGCTTAGGCCCAGGATACTTGTGAGACCGCCTACTGCCACCGATAGCCTCCCACTGTCCAGTACGATCCCACAGAGTTGGCCTCCTCAGGGTGCCATCAGCCAGGCAGTGTCGGTTGGCAACCCCCAGGGGGAGACCCTTCTCTGTGGGAGCGCTTTCCCTTTGGAATGAGCTGCCCCCGGAGCTTCGCATAATCCCCGACCTCTGGTCCTTCAGGCGCGCCCTAAAAAGTTGGCTTTTTCAGCAAACTGGCCTGGCCTGACTAGAATAAATTAAAATGTTAATTTTAAGTTGTTAATTTTAATTTAATCCTAAATTTGATTTAAATTGTCAATGGAAGGTTATTGGATTGCCTATTTAATCTTTTTAAACTTTTGTTATATGTGTTTTTATGAGTCCTTTGGGAGAAGGGCGGCATATAAGTCCAATAAAATCAAACCAAACCAAAACAATATCTGAGCCCCTCCTCCATGGTCACATGACCACATTTTGGGCACTTGACAACTGCATGTCCTATTTGCAGTGTCCTGTGAGAAAAATAATACTCAATAATGAACAATCAGCTGCGCTTGCTTTATGACCGTTGTATTTACTTAATGACTGCTCTGAATAGGGTAATAAAAGCGGGTCTGATTATGTGATGGCTGCTTTGCAACCATCAAAACTTATTATTATAATTGCAGAGTTTAATTATGGTCATAACTCGAGGACTACTCGTATTTACACTACAGAATAATTACAGATAGTCCTCAACTTATTATGACCACAATTGAGCCCAAAATTTCTATTGCTAAGTGAGTTTTGCCTCATTTTAAGTTAATTTGGAGGTAGTAGAAAGTATTCAGGAGGCTAGGCTAGGGTAATGATGGAGAGATGTATCATAAATGTGCCTTATAGTAAATTTGTGATTTATAATTGGTCATTTAAAATGGAAGTCATTTTCTCAAACTTTCCCCAACCTGCCCCTCAAATTCCAAATGTGCCTATCAGCCCCAGAATATTGTCTCATTTTGCAATATTCTTTGCCCAGCTGCTATCCATTAAAACAAAACAATGATCAGGCAAAATTCATTCTCCAGTAAACTAAAAATTAACAGGCGATTCCACAGAGAAATGAATAAGGAGGTGATGTGAATTGGGGGCAAAACACAAGATACATACAGCAGCCGTAGTGAATGCAGACCTTCAAAGGCTAGTGAGGGAATACACTGCAGTGCATTGTAGCTGAGGATCCTAGGTGAAATTAGAGAGAGGCAGAAACAATTTAAACAATCACATGTTGTGTAATTACATCCCATACATTAACTGTATTCCTGTCCCCAGTATTTTGTAAGATGCACTAATAGGTAACTCACACAAAAATCTTAAATATTTGAATCAGAATCTCTCTCTCAATCAACCCCATTTTGCACAGGATATAAATCGCCACTGTAAAGGAAACCTTCTTTGAACAGTATAAAGCCATATAGCAGATAAAATCTCTAAGTCAGTGTTTCTCAACCTTAGCAACTTGAAGATGCCCGGACTTCAACTCCCAGAATTCCCCAGCCAGCGAATGCTGGCTGGGGAATTCTGGGAGTTGAAGTCTGGACATCTTCAAGTTGCCAAGGTTGAGAAACACTGCTCTAAGTAATTAAAACTCTAATTATAAAATCGCTAAGTAAATAAAATCTCTAATTGTAAAATCTCTAAGTAAATCCACACAACCTTTTTGCTCTGGCACAAGGAAGGCACACTAACACTTTCTTGACAACATAACCTTATGCGTCTGCCTGCATCTCAGTGACTCCCACAGCGGGCTTAAGGATTCTTTAAAATGCTGTGCTTACCCTAATATCCCACTTAGGACACTGTATACTGGCAATGTAGAGTGCATTAATGGGCATTCAGGAGGTGGCCTGACATGCTTTGTGACTTCAATTACCACTGCTGGTTTCCTGTGGGACCAATCTGTTCCGTCCCTGATCTCTTTGACCACTCTTTCGGTTGTAAGGGAAACTGGAATTCCAGTTTTTGCCACTTTTTTGTTTTTATTTTTTGGAAAATTGGTGGCTGGACTGGCCCAGCTAGATAGGAAGAAGTCTTGAAACTGACATGCCTCACTTGATACTCTTTTCTGCCATATACTGGTCAGCCAACCTGTTAGGAATATAATCTAACGGTTGTGTTGGCAATATATAAATCATGTAACAATGCTATACCTGTTTCTTTAAATCATACTGTAAAATGTGATTGGTTGCTGTTTTCCTCAATCGGCCATAAGAGGGAGCCAGAATGACTGTTAGCTCTCTGTTCGTTAGATGCTGGGCTGATCTGATCTGAGTGTTTTTGGAAGCTGGCTGTTAGAAAGTGCCTTGAGCTATTATAAGTTTTGCAACTTTTAGCAAACTTTGTGTACTGAACTGATTATATGATACTGGACTATGTTATTTGGATTATCCCTTAATTGAAAGACATTGATGACTGACTGTCTTATCCGTGTATGACTTGGACTGTTTGATGGACTCTAATACCTCTATTTCCATGAAGGTAAAAGCCTATTAAACTGCAGTGTCTCTGTATGCTGGCTTGTATGTTCTCCAACACAACTCTCCCAACGCTTCTCTGAATGTACTCGCTCTCCCAACGGGGAACTTATCTAACACAACCACATTTTTTTAAAAAAAATAGTTTACTGGGAAAAGAAAAATGTGCATGGAGTAATTAGAGCATAAAATGTAACAGACTTTTCAAATGCTAGATCCGTGATGGCAAACCTGTGACACTCTCATCACAGGTGGCATGCGGAGCCATATTTGCCAGCACGGCAGCCCTCAGCTCTGGTGCACTTTCGGCTTTCTGGAGAGCCAGAGGAGGAGACCATTTTCACCCTCCCCAGGCTTCAGGAAAGCCTCCGGAGCCTGGGGAGGGCGAAAAACAGGCCCAACGGCCCAACCGGAAGCCTGAAGAGGGTGAAAACAGCCTCTCCATTTCCACCTTCCGGAGGGCCTCTGGGGGGCTGGGAGAGGCTGTTTTCACCCTCCCCAGGCTTCAGGAAAGTCTTAAGAGCCTGGGGAGGGCAAAAACTCGCCCCCAAATGGGGATGAATGGGTTGCGAGCGCATGCGCAGGTGGGTGGAGCGCATTCCATTGTGGGTGCACAAGCTTGCCATACCTTTAGAAAAAGGTTAGCCATCAATGTGCTAGATGATGATGGGCAGGGCTGGAATTATAGTCAAATCACAGGCCTTGGGGTGTTTTGTGCTAAAGCTGGATAAAAAGCAGCTCAGCTTGGGCCTGTTCCAGGTACCTGGTAAGAAAGTGCTACAGAGGCAGCAAAAATTTGGATTTTCTGTTAGCTTTAGGGTAGAAGGGAGGACATAGAAAAAGAGCTGAGTGGGTGTGGCCTTTGCCCAGGTTTTCACCACAGGAACCCAATGATATCTGTCCCTGAAATCTAAAGCAGCACAACTCTTTTAGATTCAACTCTGTTAGAAAACACTCACAAAGTGGTCAGTTGGCTCATATTGGTGAAGGAATTGTTGCTGAGGAAGCTGATCTTATTGTTGCTCAGGTCTCTGCAAAACAGAAGCACAGGTCAGGTTCTAATATCACTTTTAACTCAATCTTCCTTCCTTCCTCTCATTTCTCAAGGAAAAATCTACAATCCTTTGCAATTGCAGTGCCAGTATATATACTGATAAATCCGCTTTATGGTTTATCAGCACTTTTATGTAACTATCTGCATGACAATTGCATGATGCAATCTATTATTCTACCTTGAATTAGTAAAGGTAAAGGTTCCCCTCGCATATATGTACTAGTCATGAGGCAGTGCTCATCTCTGTTTCAAAGCTGAAGAGCCAGTGCTGTCTGAAGACGTCTCCATGGTCATGTGGCTGGCATGACTAAATGACAAAGGTGCATGGTACGCTGTTACCTTCCTACCAAAGGTTGTTCCTATTTTTTTACTTGCATTTTTACATGCTTTCGAAATGCTAGATTGGCAGAAGCTGGGACAAGTAACGGGAGCTCATTCTGTTACACGGCACTAGGGATTCGAACCACTGAACTGCCAACCTTCCGATCGACAGACTCAGCATCTTAGCCACTGAGCCACCACGTCCCTTACGTCCCTAACCTTGAATTAGCTGTATCCTATTCAAAATGGCTGATTTTTTCTTGTAAGAACCCTGCAACTTTATTTGCTTTAAATGGGTGTCACAATTAAGAAGACTAAATTAAGAAGACTAATAAGACGACTATCTAAAAAGGTTTCCTAATAATAATATTTTTTTTTCTTAAGATTTTTCCATTTTCTGCTTTAAGCATCATTTTGTATAATGCAAATGTTTCTATTTCTTTCCTCAGATGTTTTTTTATGGAGAGCACAGAAGATAAGAGGGCACTACCTCTCTTGACTATTTCTTGGTTTTCTCTGATCCCCTTCTGTTTCAATATACATAATTCTATGGCATTCTATTCTTTTAATAAAATGTTGCTTTTTGCTAATTACTGAAAAAAGAATATGAAAGATACACTGGGTTATACAGGGCAGTCTGGCCTTATGTTATACTTTTGTTTATAACTATGTGAAGCTTCACTGCATATTAGTAACATCATGACCACCTGCTTCTATTAAGAGATGCTATAGACCCCCTTATCTTCTGCACCAGCTTAAATTTTTTAGCACTACACCAATTAAGAACTCATTGATGTCTCTTCCTATTTACTCCTTGTCCAATTAGATACGTAGCAAAGAAATCCAGGTCACACATACTCATCTCGAGTCAGCAAGTTGGAGAAAATGGATCTAGATCAGTGTTTCTCAACCTTGTCAACTTGAAGATGTCTGGACTCGCTGGCTGGGGAATTCTGGTAGTTGAAGTCCAGACATCTTCAAGTTGACAAGGTTGAGAAACACTGATCTAGATTATGGTGAAGATCTTAGCAGTTTTCAGAACATCCTAGAGGTTGTTATGATCCTTATATTTAATCTACCATCTCCAGGAAAGACCACTGTAGGTTTCATCAGATGAGTAACTTCTTAGAGCTTCTCGGACACTTACACCAGCTGCAAGTAACGGAAGGTGGAGAGTTGTCCTGGAATAAGGATGAATTGGTTGCCATCCAAGTAGCTGCAAGAATAGTAAAAATATGTGTCAGATATTACAACTGAACTGTTAAAAGAGCAAAGTTCAAGATCTCTGTGTGCAAAATGTATAATATGGGTATATCACCTTGTCTTCTTATTGCTATGCAGATGGTTCATTAACATTACAAAGCAACAAATAGATAACTATGGCCCCTTCTGCATGTCACAGATTCACTATTTGTGGATGATAAGCCAGAATGACAAACTTAAAACCCTAATAAATACATTTGCCACACAGAAATAATAGTTCAAAATATCCAAAAATATTTTTTTAAAATCTTTCTTCATATAAATGGCAGCAAAATTGCAAATATTATGCAACTCAAGAGACTGGATGCCTTAGTCAGTTTGCTGCTCCAAATCCAGAGAGTACAGCCTGAGACCCAGCCAGCCCCTAAGAATGTGGGTAGCTCTTCCAAAATTTGCTAGTCATGTGTCATTGTTAATGTGATTGAAGAAACACTATTAAATACATGGAAAACAATCATATTACCAGTAACTGGATTTAATTAATATAATGTCTTCTAAAAGAAATTAGTTTCTGTATTGATTCCACCTATATTTTTGTTCTACTTTTGGGGACTCCAGTCCCTAACACCACCTCAAAACCAAGTGTGGTTGTTAGCCCCAAAAAGCTGTGCTAACCATTTCATCCATGGATACAAAGTTCTCATAATGCGCCTTCCAGCCGATACCAGGGATGAAATTCAGCAGGTTCTAACAGGTTCTGAAGAACCAGTAGCGGAAATTTTGAGTAGTTCGGAGAACCGGCAAGAACTGTCCCAGAGTGGGGTGGGAATGGAGATTTTGCAATATCTTTCTCTTGGAGTGGGGTGGGAATGGAGATTTTGCAGTATCCTTCCCCTGCCACGCTCACCAAGCCATGCTTACAGAACCAGTAGTAAAAAAAATTGAATGTTGCCACTGGCGCTACGTGTCTATACTCACAGCTCAGTAACATTCTTGGGTATTCCTTTTGGAAGGCTTTTCAGGTGCTTATTGCTGCAGCGAACTACTGTGTCTAGGCAGGTGCACTCCTGGGGGCACTGAGAACGTGGGAAACAGATGGTCTCCTCCTGACCTACCAAGGAACAAGCCAAGAAGAATGCAATATGATGCTCCAGATATAAATATTGTCTCATATCTTTGCAAGAAATTCTGGGTTTTCTATTAGTACATAGGTCTTCAAGAGTCAGAAATATCAGGAACAATTTGAATGTGGGATGTTAATCAACTGATGTGATTAATTCATTAGAAATAACAATGTAGGTTTTTATGGGAAGTGATGGAAAGGTCCCTTTTGAAATGGTGCCTTTGTATTGATTTACAAGAAGGTTGCAAGGCAGAGAAGTACACTTAAAAAGTTACTGTGATTAATTTTTTTCTGGGTCATAGCCATCCCTACCTATTCTCCACACAAAGGCTATGTTGAAAGCAGCTACTGCATTGGATCAAAGCCAATGACATACACGTGCTTGCCAAATTCACATGATTTATTCTTTTAGTGAATCAGTGTTGTCGTAAAATATTTTTTGCATCAAGATATTTCACTTATTTAATCTGGATGGTTAAAATTAAAATTAAATTGCATTGCCTTTAACCAACTTTTTCAAGCTTAAAAAAGAATGCTTAAAATCAATAGACATAACTCTAGGAACCATTACATAATTAAAAATCCATGCATGTTTAGTAAAAATAACATTTCAGCTAATTTGTGGCTTGAAAATACTACATTGGTTTTCTCTACTTTGGTGCTACCCTTCAATACTTAGTTTCTATATATCTACAGTAAATGGCACAGAGTTGTGTAGATCATATGAGACTAGTTGGTTATGCCCATGTATTTTTAACTGAGAAAGCCGAAGTTAACACTGAAATATGGTAATTTCCATCCAAAGAGTAGGAAGAGTGCAGAAAACTACAATTGTCCCAAAAATTGCAGCTCCCAGAATTTCTCCACAAAGTGCCCAAAGGAATTTGAAATGAGTCATTGCATGTAACTCCACTCTACTCCTCACCCCATTTTCACATGTAGTTTTTTGCAGGTTTCATCATAGCCTTTTATGTTCTCCCCATTTCAGTCAATGCAAAGTGTGGATTGTTTTTGCACCTTTGAAATGATTTGCCCAAGTTAGACCACTAGAGGTTTGGCACATTCAAAGTGAAGGAAAAACTAATTCAGTTATCATTTCAATGCAAAATTCAAGTTTTCCTAACCTTATGCAGACAAAAATGGAGTTGTCATTATTTGTTATTTAGGATTTCCTTGATACTCTGATGTAATTTTCTAAAGAAAACATTCATACAAAAATAGTTTGCTGACTGGGACAGGTTAAAAAATCTGGAAAAAAGGGCAGGAAAAGGCACACAAAATGTGCATATTGGTAAAAGCTCCATGATATATGCATATTAAAAGAAAATACTTGCAAAAATGAGTAGACTGAGCAATATATATACATTTAGCATTGTGCATGAAAGTGTGCAAACTGATATATACATGGAACTGAACTATGATTCACAACTAAAAATCTAAGCCAAATAAGTTGAAATATGGAATAAGACTGTACATTATTTTGCAGTGTCTGTTTATGTGAGTGCCCTATGCTATTTTATATTTACAACAAAACAATGTTGAATTGTTTTCAATTCAGTCAGAGAAATGGTATGAAAAAGTCAATTAGAGCTTTACATCATGTTTAAGCATTTCTTTATTAATCTGGATTACACTGCTCTTTTAGAAGACACGAAATGATTTGGCACACATATATAAGAAACTTCACTGTGTAAAGCTTCCGTATTTGCTTTGTTGTCCTTGCTATTACCCAAACTCTGAGAGCCCATAAGTTACCTTCCTCACACCTGAAGTCGGGGAAGGCAACATCCTGCAGTGGGATTTGGCGCAGAAAATCTGGATTGTGGCAGCGTGGATTCCCAGTCACAATCTTCCTCTTGCGAAGCCAATCACCCAGCCAGGCCAGATGGCAATTGCAATTGAAGGGGTTAGCCAGTAGGTTCCTGGGTTCAAAGGTTATGTAAAGAAGATAAATAATACCACTGTTGATGGAAATTTTAACCTCCCGCAGTTGGAATGAAGATTCCTGACCTCTTTTAAATCCAATCACCTTTCTCATATCTGGTAAACACCTAATTATATTTTGATAATATAAACCTACTTTACATGTTGTTGAGTTGAGCTATTAGCCACCTAGTCTAGCATTGTTTATGTTGCCATTTCCCAAACATGGATCTTAAGACAATGTTACACCATCATTTTATAATTACAGTCTGTAGGAATTACCAGCAGCCCTCCAAGAGGATTGGAGAGCTGCTGGTAATTAAAATTGGTTTTCATTGATTGCCATGAATTCTTCAAAGTTTCAAGAACAAACCAACTGCAGACCATTCAGATGGGCTACCAACCTATCTGGCTTAAAAAAAAAATCCAGAAGGCTTCTAACATAGTTCTCCTACATTGAGAACACAAGTAGCTATACTGGTGTTCTGCCTGTGAACTTCTTGTTAGCTTCTGGTTAGCCATTGTGAGAACAGAATGCTGGTCAACAGAAGAGCTTTGGTCCAATTCAGCAGAACTGTTCTGTTCTCTCATGTCTTTCCCAACTCTACTCAGAGGAGCATCTTTCATTTGCGGAGATCAGGAACTGAATCAAGGAGTTCTGAGTTAAGAAACCTTGCACAAGTCTTTCCTCTGAAATATAAACTCATTAAATTGCCCTAGGAAAATTGTTACCCTTGTCCCTCAATGCTCCCTCTGTAATTGTAAACAGCAAGAGCAAGCTTAGAAGATAAGATGAAACTCTGTTTTGACCCAAGCAAAGGATATAAATATTCACTTGTTACCATGTGTGTATTTTAATAGCTTTACTCCCCCATAAATAGACTTACAAAATTGTGAGATAAAATCAAATATTAGCAATGTGCAAAATAGTTTCTTAGCAACGTCCCATGTTTTGAAACAGTGACAAATGCCTATGTCAGCAACTGCAGCATTTCAACCATGGACCCTAGCTGAAAGTGAAGAGGGCCATTCCCGCAAACGAAAATTTCCTCTTGTCTAGCCTTGACTCCAGAGATGTGGCTCTTTGCAAACAGTTCTCTGATAACTCTACTAAGTTTTAAATGGGAACACCCCAGAAGCTGGATCAGTTCATGATGGAAGCACATTTCTGAGATCAAAGAATAATTTGGAAAGGAAAAATAAAATAACAATACAGGGAAAAGGTCCTACCGTATTTTTCAGAGTATAAGATACACTTTTTTCCCTCAAAAAAATTCTGAAAATCTGGGTGCATCTTATACACTGAATACAGCATTTTTTGCCTACCAAAACCCCTCCCCTTCACCAAAATGGCCGTGCAGAGCCTTTAGGAGACTTATAGAGTGTTCTTGGGGGCTGGGGAGGGCAGAAATGAGCGAATAACAGGTCATTTTTTGCTTGTTTTTGCTTCCCCCAGCTGCCAGGAGCACTATATAAGCCTCCTAAAGGCTCTGCATGCCCTTTTTTGACAAAATTGGGCCATTTTTTTGCTCATTTTTTGGGGGGGCACCCCCCAGGAGCACTCTACAAGTCTTTTAAAGACTATTCATGCCCTTTTTTGAAAAAAATGGGCCCATTTTGGGGAGGTCTGCAGAGTGCAAAAACTTTTTTCTTTAATTTACTTCTTCAAAATCTTGCTGCGTTTTATACTCCCGTGAGTCTTATACTCCGAAAGATACGATATGCGTTATATTAAACTAAAATTTCCCTTCCTCACAACTCACAGAGTAGAGAGTGACTGCAATGTATCAAAAGCCCCTGGTGAAATAATGCTGATCTGATTGTCATATAAGGAGAGAAGGCGCACATTGCGCAGCCCAGTGAAGCTGTCATTGTGAATACAGTTGATGCGATTGTTCCTCAGCATCCTGGGGAGAAAAGAGAACATGGGAAGAAGCCATTTTGCAGTAACAATTATTTAGTTGTCAGCAAGAAGCATCAATATTCTGCAAAATGGTGCTCCTCCCCCCTACTATTCCCAGTTAGGGGTGACTTACAGTGTCCGTAGCCCATCCAAGCCCCGGAACATGGAGCTGCGCACTGACTCTAGCTGGTTAGCAGTAAAATGTAACTCGCTCACTGAAGATGCCCCCTCAAAGGCCCCATCTTCAATCTCTGAGACTTTGTTGTTGCTCAAATTTCTAGGAAAGCACAGAGCAGGAAGTCAATATAGGAAGGGCTGCATCTTAGTTCACAGTCTGCCAGGCTCTGTCACTTCAACATTAACAAAAGAAGACTAGATCCGATAGATCCAATGCTGGAAGTGTGTTTCATTCATTTCAATTCTCCCCCTAGATTACTTCTGCACCCACTTGAACATCTGTCATAATTTTAGGCCTAATTTTGTAACCTCAAGCAGATTGCTGAGAGATTGATTGGAGTCTAGGCATCTTTGCATCTGTTTCCTGAAGAATAACAATAGTTAAAATAGCTGTGTATTACTTCCACTATCAGAAGGAATATGGCTCCTAAAATTGGTAGGCAATGTGAGCAGGAGGATGCTATTATACATCGCCCTTCTTGTGGACTTCAAGTAGATAGCTGATGGATCCAGCATAATTCTTTATATCCATTTATACTAATGCCTGTAGGAACTTTGACAGCTCTTTCTCTGCCACATCTTTTTAAAATATTGCTATGCTGTAAAGTCCTATATAAGGAGGAATGTATTCCTAGAAGCTCTCATCCATATAACTCACATTTTCTTTAAGTGTGGAAGTTTCTTGAAGATACCTGTTGCCTCCACCACCGTGATTTCATTGTTATTCAGGCGTCTGCACAGGGAGGAAAGTAAAATAAACATGCAAGACTGAGAGCAAAGGCTTATGCTGCATGAACAATATAATACCCATGATTTCTTATACAAAAATCCTCCAGAATAAGGAAAAAATGAAGGGAATGGCGCAGTGGAAAGCGTGGGGATTTCCTGAGAAGGGCATGTGCATTGATACAGAGTTCTCCGAAGAGGCTGCACGTGGAATAGGTATTGCATCTCACTTTACCTTATTAAGGAATGGTGACAGAACACATCCTAAAAATAATGAGACTTTGCAATTCATTGTGTGAAGGAGCCATAGGGAACACAAAGAAGGAAAGAGCATTCTGTTTGGATTGTGAAAAGATATGAATGGATGCTCAATAATGGGCAGGGCAAGTTCAGATCTTACAATTCAGCAGTAGCCTGTGGGAGGCGCTCTGGGATCTTTGTCAGCCTCAGATTGGAACACTCCACCACATTGGCTTCACAACGACACTTGGCTGGGCAAACCACATCACTATGGCATTCACTGTTCAAATGATAATTCTCCGTACCTGCCAGAAAAACAAAGTGTGAGTTAAAGATAGCTGTACTGCTAGGGAACCTTCTTATAGAAGACAAGAAAATGCCCCTTACTACTCTCTACACTTGGGTATAATCATTGTCACTGCACAGGAGAGCAGGGATCATCTACAAAAACAAAAAAAACAAAAAAACCCTTTCTCTACCCCTGTGCCCTCTATAAAAAGAGCTTGATAGATCAGCCTGCAAGATTATCAAGCTAAATTTTCCATTGATTAGCCTTCCAACTCTACTCTTGCATTTGATATTCAGGAATAAAGGCCCTTCCACATACATGTTTTATGTCACTTCATCAGATTGGAATCTGGATTGATCTCATGATGCTTAAACATTAACTCTAGTTCAGTGTTTCTCAACCTTGGCAACTTGAAGATGTCCGGACTTCAACACCCAGAATTCTAGGAGTTGAAGTCCAGACATCTTCAAATTGCCAAGGTTGAGAAACACTGCTCTAGTTATAATTCTGATCTGAAAATCAATTTTCCCATAGGGATTTCCAGTTCATCTTCTAACTAACTCAGACTACCCATTGCTCTCTCCATCTGCCTCAGAAGTGGGGGTTCTGTTTTTGAGGCTACTGTAGCAGAGGTGGGTTCCTACCAGTTCTCACCTATTCGGTAGAACCGGTTCGTCAAATCTACCGAACCGGTTAGAAGAGGTTCCACCAGTGGACCCGGAAAGCAGGCCACACCTACAGAAGAGGTTCCAAATTTTTTTGAAACCCACCACTGGTCCTTGGATATGATTATTCTACACTATCATGCTCATATTTATAAAACTCAGTGCCTCTGTGAAAGGTAAGGATGACTACTGCGTTTGTGGTGCAATCAGAACATTGCGTGTGTTGTTTTAACGCAAACCAAAGATGCCTTTTAAAAAACATCCATTTCGTCGGCATCTTCATATCTGGTCACATGGGCAGCAAGCCACTCCCACAAAGGAGGCCACACACCCATAGAGTAGGTTCGAACAATTTTTGAAACTTACCACTGTACTGTAGCAACATACAACCATGGACACTGTTGTTGGGAGAAAGTTCATGGTTGCACAATTACAGGTAGTCCTTAACTTACAACCACAACTGCGGCCAAAACTTATGGTGCTAGGTGAGACATTTGTTAAGTGACTTTTGCTCCATTTTAGGACCTTTCTTGTCACACTTGTCAACTGAATCACTGCAGTTGTTAAATTAGTAACACTGTTGTTAAGGGAATCTGGCTTTCCCGTTGGCTTTGCTTGTCAGAAGGTCCCAAAAGCTGACCACATGACCGTGGGACACTGCAATGGTCATAAATATGAGTCAGTTGCCAAACGTCTGAATTTTGATCATGTGAGCATGGAATGCTGCAATGGTTGTCGCTGAAAAAATGGTTATAAGCCACTTTTTTCAGTACTGTTGTAACTTTAAATGGTCATTAAACAAACTGTTGTAAGTCAAGGACTACCTGTATTGTCCCACATGTGATCCATTCTAAACCAGGAAAGACTACATTTTAAGGATTGTTTTAAACATGGTTGAGGAATGTTGTCCCAGGGGGCACCTGAACAGTGAAGGCACATTTTCTGGATCTCATCAGATGATACTGCTTAATAGATGGATCCTAGAGCAAACCAACTTTGGACAATCACACGTGACAGGCAAAAACTACAGAAGACTGATGCTCCCTTAGATAACAAACTTATGTCAGGAAAGGTTTTATAGGTAGCAACCAGTAGTTTGAGCTGGAAGTTTTAATGTACCGTATTTTTCAGAGTATAAGATGCACCGGAGTATAAGACGCATCAAGATTTTGAAGAGGTAATTTTTTTAAAAAAAGTTTTTGCAGTTTGCAGACCTCCGTAACCCTCTGCACACCTCATTTTTTGTGAAAAATGGGGCATGCAGAGAGTTTGAGAGGCCTGCAAAGTGCTCCTAGGGGCTGGGGGGGGAACTGCTGTTGAAATATCCAGCCCCGCCTCAATTGTGAATGTTGTGCATTTTTAAATTCTTTGTATTGTCTTATTTATTTCCCTTTCCCTGTTTATTGTGAGCCGCCCGGAGTCCTTCGGGAGTGGGCGCCATACAAAACTAATAAACAACAAAAACTAATAAACAAAACGAGCAAAAAAACAGCCCATTTTTTGCCCAAAAAAGGGCATGCATAGCCATTAAGAGGCTTGTACAGAGCTCCTGGGGGCTGGAGAGAGGCAAAAATGAGTAATAAACGGCCCATTTTTCGCTCGTTTTTGCCCTCCCCCAGCACCCAGGAGCACTTTGCAGCTATCCCAAACCCTCTGTACCTTCATTTTTGTGAAGGGGGTGGGGTTTCAGGAGGCAAAAAATGCTGTATTCAGTGTATAAGATGCACCCAGATTTTCACCCTCATTTTTTTGGGGAAAAAGGTGTGTCTTATACTCCGAAAAATACGGTAAGTTATTTAATCATAAGCCATTCAATGGCACTTGGAAACCATTCATGTTAAAGGAAAATACTGAAATTTCTACCCAGCAAACAAAGGTATATGCATTCAATCAATACCTTAATCCCATTATATCCCATTATAATATTTTCCTTTACCTGGAATGAAGTATTGTTCCTTGGCTGTAAAGAAAGATGGGCAAAGTATTAATGTAAATGCAGCAAACACATCTCTTTCAGGCACATTAGAGCAAGCCTGTACATATGTTCTGGAACAATTTTTTTTTTCAAATTAAGAGGTTAGAAAACTTAGTTGACCAATTTATAGCAAACAGATCTATCTCTGTGTTCTAGACATTAAATAAGAGATGAATTGTGGACTAGTTCATCATTTCAACCAAGCCATTCCTGTTGCTCACTTTCAGAATGTAAGATGGCTTATGATTTATATGTATCCTGATTCCTTAGACCTCTGGGCACAAGAAAATTTAAAAATGGGAGAGTACTAAAATGCAAAGGAGGCATTATGTGAAGAAAGAAAGAAAGAAAGAAAGAAAGAAAGAAAGAAAGAAAGAAAGAAAGAAAGAAGGAAGGAAGGAGGGAGGGAGGGAGGGAGGGAAGGATGAGAGAACATTTCTACATGTTCTTTATAGTCTATTCTGTGTTGAGAAAAAATCTCTTAACAGGTGTGCTAGCACATCAATCCTCTCCTGGACCCAAATTCCAAAGCAACCCTATAGCAGGAAAGCAGCTCATACGGGAACAGCGGAATTTCTTGCTCTTGATCTGTCCAATGCGCTTGTTGGCCAAACGTCGGGGACTGGCACAACGAGCACCACTTGTCTCAATAGGATTGGCACGCAAGAAGTCTGCCAGCCACTTCAGGTTGCAGTCGCAAATAAAGGGGTTCTGGGCCAGATGGCTGCAGTGGGAAAGAAAAAGGAACAACTGAGCATAACCATTCAAGAATCTGTGGGCAGCTCAGGTGGTTGATCTGAGAGCCATGTGTGGCTGCTAAGATGATGCTTCTAGCCAGTGCAAAGCTGAATGCCTTTTCAATAGTCCCTTTCTATGGCAGAAATCTTTCTATCAAAGATCATGGAGGCATGCCAATGGCTCTGGAACACATCCTCTAGGACAGTGTTTCTCAACCTTGGCGACTTTAAGTCCTGTGGACTTCAACTCCCAGAACCCCCCAGCCAGCAGAGCTGGCTGGGGAATTCTGGGAGTTGAAGTCCACAGGACTTAAAGTCGCTAAGGTCGAGAAACACTGCTCTAGGAATTTATTTTATTTTACTTATTCATAATTTATCTATTCATTAGGTTTAAAACCTGCCTTTCTTACAGGAGCTCAAGGCAGTATATGGAGCACGTTGTCCTCCATTTCTTTTTCCTCTCACCAACCCCGTGGGGTGGGTTTTGCTGAGAGATGATGCAAAGTTGCCTAATGAGCTTCTGAGACTGAAGATGGGCATGAATCTGAGTCTGCCCAATTATAGCCCAATACATTAATCAAAACACTACATTGGCTCAATGAGTATTGAGTCAGTATCTTCCAGTGAGATCAGGACTTCTTTTTAGATGACATTTCTGTTGTAATCTCCTGGTTCTTTCCCCTCAGACTCTGGCCTGCCTTCCCCTCGGCACTTCAGAATTCAAATCTTCTACCATCCTCCTACCACCCCCTATCATCACTGGACAAATATGTACAGAAGCCGAGACTCACAGTGTCTGGATGGCACGCAGGGTGGCAAAAGTGCCTTTGGCCAGGGTCTGGATCTTGTTGTCATAAAGAGAGAGCAGTGAGAGGTTCTGCAGGTCAGCAAAGGCATCTGCTCGAATGCAGTTAATCTTGTTGGCATTCAGTAGCCTGGAGTGATGGAGCAATCATACTATAGTAATGTGTGCACATGCTGTGATAACAGTATACTGGATACTAGACAAAATTATTTGCTCATTATGCAAAGGACCTACCCACCCCACCAAGTTATTAGCAAAGCTCAGGCGAAGAAATACATTAAACCTGCCTTTTAATCTAAAGTCATCTAATGCATACTTCCAAGTCAATATAAAAATTAAGCAAAGTTAATCTTTAGTATTTACATCTTTCAAGCATACAATAAATTTTGTAAATAAGTAAATAAATAAATGAATGAATATTTGCATCTTTCAAATGGTATGATTAGCTATATTCACATAAAAATGCACATCTCAGTAGGAATAATGTACCACATTTAATTGAGTCATGGAAACTGCTTGCAAAACTGTAGATTAGAAGTAAGAGTAATGAAATGCACAGGATAATCTGTATGACTTGCCATGTAGTTACTTGTATGGTGAACTGATGCAAAAATGAGATACCATTCATTTAAGGTTTGAAAAAAAATGATAAAAAGTTATACCACTATTGATCCAGCCCTAATTCAAACCAAGTAAAGGGATAGAGAGAACACAGAGAAGATTTATAGGGCTAAAAACTATCAATGTTTCCATCTGGAATAATGCAGATGGAAGGGGACTAAAGGTAGGCTAGGAAGAGATGCAGAAGCTGATGCTGGAAATGAAATGATAGCAACTAGGGGTGAAAACGTGGAAAAACTATAAATGAGTAAGGCAGGCAATGAGGAAAATAGAGTACGGTATCCTCAGTTTTTAAGCAACTGGGGAGGCTGTTAGTTTCTGAAAATAAATAATAACTATGTCGCTGGAAATGAAGTTCTAGATGATGGTAACAGAGGTATCTAGGGGTCTCCTACTATGCTGATATCCAGAAAGCAATTTAGCTATCTTTCTTATTGGTGCTTACAGTAGTTGTAGTGCATAGAGACCCCCAAATACTCCTTTGGGCAACTCTGTGATCTTGTTCCCATATAAGACTCTGGAAAAGAAATAAAATCAGTCCTTGGATTAGTGATGCCCTATAAAGTGTATTGAGAGAAGAGGCTATTATCATGTATTATTCAATCTTAGACTCACTTTTTAATACACACTTTCCTAATGTCACACACAACAGCAATGTTTTAGCATTTTAAAAAATTAAAATCTGAGTTCCCATACGTACTGTATCCAATACACCCAAAATATGAAGCTGCTTAAATCAGATGAATAGCTAAAACTCTATAAAGCAGCAGTTTTCAAACATTCCACTGCAAAACCCCTGAAGGGAAGAATTGCAATACTGTATTGTAATTAATCAGCATAATGGCATGAAAACCTGATTCACAGACATATTTTCTCTCCGAAACTAACTAACTAACTAACTTTGAAAATGAATTATGAGGTGACTATTCTACGCATTGTACTTCGGAGATGAGCCAAATGAATTTCTAAGGATGGAGATTTGGCAGTATATAGAAAGTGAAATAGTTATAGAAAATATTGATCAAAGAAACAGGGAACAGAGACTGGCATCTTCAGGGAGTTCCAGCTAGGTATTTGCAGGATATTGTAAACATTACTCTGGCTGGCATCAGTTAAGTTGTGCAAGTGGAGTCGTGAAAGAAGAATATTCTTTCTTAGCATGCGAGCAGGATTTTGCATCCATAACTATAATAATATATTTCATATGATTTCCCCCCCTGACTACTCACAGAGAGTTGAGTGAACGAAGACCTTGGAAGGCATCAGGTGCAATTTCTGAAATCTGATTGTTGCTGAGGTCTCTAGAACATATAGGACAAAATCAACATTCCCAAACACTCAAATCTCTTGCTACTTTTCTTCCCTGTAAACGCTTCTCCCAAAGAGTCTATTTGCCCTTTCAAGCTTCAAAATCTTGAATTATAGATAATCATAAGTAGATATTTTCTGTGACAGTGATGAACAGCCAAGGAATCACTTGACAACCTTGGAAAGCTAAAGAAATATATAACCCTTGGCCTATTCGTTTCTTCCATTCCTTACCCACATAGCAGAATATATTCTTGCACTACCCTCTTGAGATTCAGAGTTGGAGTCATTCTTTCTTTTTAAGGATAGCCAGCCACACCTGTGGATTTCAAATGCCTTGTCTCTGATCTAGGTCTCATCAACCTAATTTTCCATTCCGTTTATCCTTTCCTCGCTGGATTATAGACAGACATCAATAATGAAGAACAAAGAAGCCTAGACTAAACCAAAGGCGATAGAAGCTGAATGATTGGATGGAAATGATCTGTATCAAGACACTCACATCCTACGTAGTTTCTTGTATGATGAGAAGGCTCCAGGGGGGATGGACTTGATGCCATTGAGTTCCAGACGTCTGTGTTATAAGCCAAGCATTAGAAAGAAAACAACTGGGGTACATCAATAAAAATAGATGAAATGCTATATTATTCAGTAGGGGCACTTTAGAGAGCAAACAGAATCATATGTGTAAGAGAAAGTAAAGTTCTGCCCTAGCTGTACATGAATCAAACTAGCATAACTTTCAGCTGAGCTTGCAGATTAATTAATAATATTTTTATACAATTAAATTGATGTAGTGTATGTTTTGGAAATCCATGCAGAGTTTTACATTTAGTGAAGTGGTATAATTATATACACACTTTGCTATTCAGTACAGTATGCATTCATTTGAAAGCTACTTATGTGGATATAATCACATAATCACACAGTAAACAATTTCTCAATTATCTCAATCTGCAAATCTACATAATTCATTTTCCTAGTATATTTACTTGGACATAATGCATGAATTAGTTACAAATTATATTTAAGCCTAGATAAAATATCCATGAAATGACTATTTAAAACGTATTACTTAGGGTAGTTCTCATATTTTGTCTCCTTAATAGAACTACAAGGCTGATTTGATAAATGAAGGAAGCACTTTAAAAAGTTCATATATTTGAATACATTAATATTCCACTTTCTTCACTTAAACAAAAGTTGGATCAGACAACCATTCATTGATTCATTTGTGCAATTTATATGGCTGTCCATACCATACAAAACTTAATGTGCTATACCAAATTAAAAGCAAGAAGTAACATTTGACAAAATAAAATGAACTAAAAACAATAAGTGATTCAAATAACCAGAACTATTAAAAGAAGTTTCTAAAGCTGCCTGGCCTAACACTCCCTTGGGGAGAACCAAATTTTTGAAAATTTTGCAAGGCAGACAGGCTAGAGAACATCTGGATCTTCAGCGACAATGCTATTTATAGGGTAGATGTGGTGACGGAGAAGGCGTTATCTCGTGTCCCATCAATGCTTGCAATGGGGAGACATAGTCAAAGATAGGTGGGTCCTATCAGCTCTATGCTGTGAATGGCTCCATAGGGGACAACTAGCACCTTGAAGCGCATCTAGAGGCCCACTGGCAGCCAGTGCAGCTCATGAAGTAGCAGTGTTACTTGAGGTGCACCCATAGCTCCTCACAACACTCTATTCTGGATCAGCTGTAGCTTTTAAGTGCTCTTCAAAGGCAAACCCATGTAGAGCATGTGCCAGTAATCCATTTTAGAGGTTACCTAGTCATTAGTGACCATGAATAGGGTCCAATCCAGATAGGGGTTCAGAAATAGGTCCCTTCCAATCAACAGTCCTTAACTGCTTCTCAAGCGAAAGCTGTAAGTGCACAAGGACCATCAGATTGCGTTCAAGTCTGATCTGGGCAATGCAGCCTCCTTTAGAGCCAAAACTTTTTTTTAAAAACCCTCCTAGATAAAATTGCCTCCAACTCCAACTGCTACTAGGTCACATAATTATTCCCTACCCAACATGTTCCTACTCACATCTCTGTCATGGTTTCTGGTAAGTTGGCAGGGATGGCTGTTAGACCTTTGCCACGACAATCTACAATGCCATTGCTACAAGTACACATGGCAGGACAGGACCCAGATGAAAAACTGCAGATATGAGTTCTGGTGGCATCATCTTGGCCTGGAGAAAGAAAAGGAGAAAGTTATTTGAGTCTCTACACTAGAGGAGCAAAGATGAATGCTCAATTAACTGATTGAAGCTTTTGAGCGACATCTTTCATCACAGGGTCGCAGTATATAGATAATAGTTAAATGTGTGTAAACTCTTCAAATGCAAAATAAAAATATAATAGTTGTACCACTTTTAAGCTTTTCCCTCTGCAAGCTGGAGAGAGTATGGACTAGAAATAGGTAAATTTCTAAGTATAGTAAGTCCATGTTTGATTTGAGACTGCAAGAAAACATTGCCTCCTGGAACTGATGCCTCTCCTATTCATTTTGGTCAACCAGAACTAATACTGAGTTCAAATGTTGAGGGCAGCAAGTATAGCAACTATAAACAGAAAGGGGCAAATATGACTTTAAGAAGGCTGAGTGTCCAACGAGTAAAGAAACCAGAGAGAATGGAAAAAGCAGGTTAGCAATGTGACAGAACAGAGAATGTAAAACACCTTAAATACTTTTAGGATCTCACAGACAAAAAAGCTGTATTGGTAGGGATAGAAAAAAGAAGGGGGAAATGAGAAAAGATCTCTCTCTCTCTCTCTCTCTCTCTCTCTCTCTCTCACACACACACACACACACACACACAAACATCTTTTACAGAAAGAAGAAGTTGAAATTGGAGCTGGCAGGAAGCTAGTAGTAATATTGGAGATGTTTTAAAGAAAAATGAATAGCTAGCGAGTGAAGATATTATGCTGTCTCCTGAAGAGATGCAAGTTACAGTGTGATCGAAAATCACTGAAGAGGAAGTAGAATAAAAATTTCGCTGGAAGACGAAAGACAGCATGACATGAGATCTGTCTGTCTGGTGCAAACACCCAAAGGGAGGAAACCATTCAAAAACATTAACACTGTGTTACCTGCAAGAGGTTGCCAGTTAAGATTTTACCTGAATCGTTTGCTTAACTCTTTGGAGAATTTAGTAATAGCGCTACGCCCTGCTGCAGTTTAGGACCGGCATGCTACCATATTAACAGAAGCATTATTATTGAAGGCAGGAAGATATTTCATATTAGAATGGTAGAGTAATTAGGTCATAAAACAATTTGCTACATTCTCTCCTTCTTTGAAGGCAGATGCCAGAAGGTAGGGGGAGGGACAAGTAGTTATGAAGCTCTGATGCATGCTTTAGTTGAATACCACTTGGATAATTATCTGGCTGAAGGAGTAAAAATTACAGAGAAATAAATGTATTTCTATCCTTGGTATGCCTCAAACAATAATAATATTTTTAAATGGACTAGGTTCACATGAAGATCCTTGTATGCTATATGTTATTTGATCAATCCAGAGAACCCATGACAAACAGAATTCTCTTCAAAATCACAGGTAATTGTTGCAGCATGAAACAATTTCTGCTGTGCATTAACTAAAAATAGAAATAGGAATGCTGAGATCCTATTATCGTAAAAGAAAGAGTAGTTATGTAGAAGGGAAATTGACAGGCTTAACCACTGACTCTTCGGTTCAACTGCTAGCTAGTCTGCCTTAAACTTGAAAGCAGGCAAGACCCTCCCTCTGTTTGTTTGGGGAGGGGGGGGAATCCTAAGAAGATTTTCTTCCAAAGCTTGGAGGAAAACTCATTCTTTTTGCCCCCACAGAGAAAGCTCCTAGCACTTTGCTGATGCCACTGACCTGAGCAGCTGAATTCATTCTTTTGGATTTCTGCAACATTTAGACCACGGAGGGATGGAGGACCAGCACATTGTGTGAAGAGCCCAATAGTAGGTCGCTGGCGGAGCCACTGGGAAAGCCAACCCAAATGACAATCACAGATCAGCTGATTGGAGTGCAAGCGGCTGCAGAGACAAAGTAAAGTTGTGGGGAAAAAGGGGGGAAAAGCACCTTTTGCTTGATACTTCTAATTTACAAAGCAGTTCTAAAGAATAGGACAAAGCTAATGAATTTGACTGATAACTTGGGGACATTTTCTAGAAAGGAGATTCTGATTAGGGTTAGGAATGAATCCTGCATTAAGGATTGAGATGGTCAACCAGATTCCTGTTTGCCTCTTCAATTCTGGCATTCACCCAGCCACACTGTTCCTGGAAGGAACTCAAAACAGGGCCATTTGAGACAGTCGACTAATCCACTTACCAACCTCAGACTGATCATGTCCAGGTTAATTAATTTCATTTAGTCTGTTGTATGGTAAGAATAATAACCCCAATCAATTGTCCAATGTTGTATATCAAGTCTCTAAAGAAAAAGAACTGGAGAAAAAGTAGCCAAAGAACCAAATATCTTCATTAGATATGTTACCACAATAGCTGAGCATCACAGAAAACATCTCTCAAGCATTGATTGGCAACAGTGGCCAAGCCAACGGGGGAGAGGCTATTGATGATATATGTCTTGCTAGATCTTGTGAAATACCATATACTTTTTGAAATTGGGTGGGATTCTATGTTTCCGAAATGGTAATTTTTTTTTACTGTATGTTGCCTGAACATCCAAATGAAGAGATTTCACTGACTTTGTGATTAACTGAATTAGATGTCCTTGAGCACACAACTAAACTTTTGAAGATCTTCCCATGTTATTATGGTGTCTCACAAATCAAACTTTAGTGTCTACCTGTATTTGTTCAGGTAGTTTTTATAGCAAGAGTAAGCATTGGTTCATGATTTCACCAAGTTTTTATTTTTAGCTTTTCCAGTCCAGCCTATAGCACTGAGATTTTCTGGTGTTCTTTGATCCAAGAACTACAGTATTGTTCCTGTTTAGGTTTTCTTAAGTACCCTAGTTCGGCTACATGTTAACATCTGTTATGAGTCTCCTATTATTATACAAGTCCCAGCATGTTGGGAGCATTTCATGCTGTGAAAACATTAATCCTAAAGGTAATATTTATTAATTTCTGGTTCATTGTGATACATATGATACCAGTAGTGGGATTCAGCCAGTTTGCACCACTTCGGGAGAACTGGTTCTTAACTTTCTGAGCAGTTTGGTGAACTGGTTGTTAGAAGAAATCATTAGGGCAGAGAACTGGTTGTTAAATTATTTGAATCCTGCCACTGTATGATACCCAGTCAATTATCTTCTGCCTCCCCCACCCTATCACACCCAGGAGCCATTTCCTTATGTGCTCACAAAGTACGCAGTTTGGGCATATGGTTGAAGCTGGAGATGGGGATGGAGCTGATATTGTTGTTGTTCAAAGTCCTGCAAGAACGAAAAAAAGGAAATGCATCACTTAATACTTGAAATACATGCATCTTATTCTGTCTGTCTGTCTGTCTATCATCAATCTATTTCTAACTATCATCTATTATTTATTATGTTTGTATCGTAGTCCATCTGACAAAAAGGTGACTCCGAGCAGTGTCTCAATTTAAACTTAGGTAAAAATAAATACATTAAAACAGTCACAATTTAAAAAAAATAAAAAATATATTGGGGAAGAAGATTCCACAAGGTGGGCACCATGGCAGAGAAGGTCCATATCCTGGGACCCACTAAATGCAATTCCCTGGCAGACAGAACCTACAGCACGTCTTCTCAATCCAGAAAGGGTGTGAAGGAGTTCAGGCAAAGAGACTGCTGTGCAGCAGGGAGAATGGTACAAGAGCAGCAAACTCAACTGATCCCTACAGCTCATCTTAATAAGCAAGGCCTCATATCCAGTGGCATGTGGCGCAGTGCTCTGAAAGCCATATGACATCCCACATGACAATTACCACACCTCCACCCTAGGCATGAAATCCTTTCATTTTTGCTACCGGTTTGGAACTGGGAGCGTGTGTGGTGCTTCTGTACATGCACAGAGCATCCGTGATGACGTCTGGGTGGGTGGGCGGAGCCTCCTGCCTCCACCATTACTAGTTCACCTGAACCAAGGTGAACTGGCAGAATACCACCTTTGCTCCACTCTGCCCCAGGATCTCAGCTAATGCCAGACTCAAAACCTAACTGGATATAGCTCCGGAAGTGATACATGCCCAGCCAGCCCTCTCATCAGTACTAAATTACTCATAAGGGAGGCTTTCTTACAAACCAAATTTGCATTCAGAAGAAGCAACTAAAAGCCTCTGGAAATTTGCTGACAGGATACCAGGGCTTAGATTGAGGAGCTGACCATGAGACCAGTAGCAAACATCAGTCTCCTGATCCCTGGAAATAACCCACTCTCTGACTCTCACCATATTCCCCCATGCCCATCACCACCAGATTACTTTCTCATTCCCCCAACAGCAGCCCCATCCTGTATCTAAGCCTGTCAGTTCCCCAAACTAAGTGTTGTGGTCCGCCAGCAGCCTGCGTAGCTGGCAGCAGAGTGAAGAGGTTGGGGAGGAACCTGGGCCAGTCCTGGAGTCTGGGGAAGGCTCAGATGAGGGCTCTACATCTGAGGCAGAGAGAGGGCCAGGGTCATCTGGGAGTTATGTGCTGCCTCCAAAGCCTATGGAGTCTGACATCAGCGAGGCAGAGGAACAGGGGGAGCCTGTTCCCAGTGTGCACATACACAGAGATGCCAAAAGGCAAGAACAGTTAAGACAAAAGGGGCGACTTGGGAGTAAGACTTGGAGATGATTGGCCCCAATCAGACATAAAAGAGGAGCAAATGGACGTGAGCTTTTGCAGGAAGCAACTTTGTTCGTTCTGATTGGTTTAAACTCTGAAGCTCCGTTTTGACTGTGCTCCATGTGGCCTTGCAAAACTAATTGGCAACTAGGTCTTTGGCAGCATTTCAAGGAAGATAAAGGTAGGTGCTTATCAGTCTTATCCCGAAATACTGTGGCAGACTTCTGTCGGACTATTCACAAACTGTTTGTGATTCATTACGGGCTGAGAACGAACATAATTCATAGCCATTAAAATTTGGGGGGATTTGGGGAACTAAGCATGTGATTTTTACTGTCTCAGGAAGTCTAGGTCAGAACACTAGGAAGCAACTGGTGTCCTTAACAGCCACACCTGGAAGGGGAAGCTGGGCACCCTTTAGACTATCACATTAAGTGTTCAATAGAAACACAAATTCCTATTAGTCACATATGGGGACCCCTTCTCTGTTTGATAACCATTTATTTATCTACCAAACGACTTTCCACAAATGGAGGGGAAGTCATGGGTTCTATGAATTTTCTTACAAAATCCACTTTCAAAGGGGGGGGGGTGATCTGAGAGGACATTGCCCGTGGCTTCTAAGTCTGAAGCTCAATCAGGGATGCAAAAGATAAGAACACTTTTTTCATCTTAGTGCCCACATGTGGAATTCAACTCCAAAATTCTGCAAACAGCATAACTACTAATAATAATTCAGAGATTTGGAATCCACAGATTTAGAAGATCCTGAGATTGGGGAAGGCTACAAAGAAAACTCTGGTATACTTCCTTAAGAGAGATACTTACAATACTTCCAGCCCACGGAGAGCACGAAAGGCCCCTTCTTCAATGCAACTTATATGGTTCTTGTCCAGCTGCCTGTTTGAAGAAAGATAGGATAAAAGTGCTATCTATTCTAGATATATTGTACAATAAAATGTTCCATACATCAGCATAGCTATAGTATATGAGAAGTGAAGCAACACAAGAAAACTGTGATCAGAAATAAGGAGCATTAGAGAACTGCAAGAACCAAGTTTGATTGGAGAGATTATGATTTGGGGTGGAACAGAAATATTGCATAATATCCACAAATTTTGCATAATAAGTGGCGGACATTGTTTTTAACCTATTTATCTTCGTTTGCATAGGCTTCTGAAATCATCATCTGCCTCATCTTGTTATGCTGCCTCATTTCAGTGGTAGATTTCTAGGAGGAGTGAGTAAACAATATATATACCAAGAGTACATACTCCCACAAGGGTACCCACGTCATAAAGGTCACTTTGCTGCCCATTTAAAGCAAGTTAAGTATTTATGTTGAGCAGCAGTAATATAAGAAGAGTTGGAAAGGTTACTGAGGATGGCAAAGCCAACCTTTCATACTATATGAGAAAGGCAATAAGCCACTTCTCTATTTTACCAAGAAAACCACATGAATAGGTAATGAAAACGGATTGAGAATATAGTATCAGATGATGAATCCTTCAGGTTTGATAGCACTTGACATATTATTAAAGAAGAACTGGGGATCTTTCAGAGTACTAATTATGTGTTGATGAAGTGGCTAGATTAAACTCTTTGGGATGTCTAGTTGTTGCTGTTTCCATGCAGGAAAAAAAATCCGAAGCTGCAAACACAAGAAATATAAGATTGGCTTATTTGATCAACTTTAACATAGATAATTAGTTATATTTGGCACCCCTTATTGATTTTTTTCTGATAAAGAACAAATGACAATAATTTGGGTTTTGATTTTAGTTAAGAGTTGAGATATGAGGAGAGTAGAGTATATACTGTATAGTGGTAAATTATTTACATTGTACTTATTGGGATGAATGGGGAAGTTACCCCTTTTTTTCTCTTTTTCTTTTCATTCTTATATTTTTTAGATTGTATAGTTTTTATTCTTTCTATGTGTAATCTTTAATTAAACATTAAAAAAATATTTTATAATTTTTAGGAGGTCAATCCATATTCTCCAAAACACCTGAAGACAGGATAAGAAGCAAGGGGTGAAAACTGATCAAAGAGAGAAGCAACCTGAAACTAAGGAGAAATTTCTTGACAGTTAGAACAACTAATCAATGGAACTACTTGCGTCCAGAAGTTGTGGATGCTCCAACACTGGAGGTTTTTAAGAAGAGATTGGACAACCATTTGTCTGAAATGTTATAGGGTTTCCCGCTTGAGTAGGGGATTGGACTAGAAGACCTCCAAGGTCTTTTCAAACTCTGTTATACTGTTATTTAAAACAAAAAAGATCTCCCTGGGTGGGCACTAAGAGGCAAAAGTGATTTGATGGCACATAATCAATGATAAAATCAACAGTATAATGCAGTGGCACACTATCCTATCTACCACGGTCACTCACAAATTCTTGAGATCAGTGGCTCCACGGAATGCCTTTCTGGGCACAGCCTGAAGAAGGTTCTCACTCAGGTCTCTGCAAAAGAGAAATTTGCGGAGGAAAAAGAATTTATCAATTAAGAGGAAGGGGGCTGATAAGGCAATAGAAAACAAGGACTGGTGTAGCCCAGAGGCATGGTCACCTTCACTATTGTTACACACACCAGAATTATAAGGCAACATTGATTTGATGGCACCTAATCAAGAATGAGCTCTGGAAATACAGACTTCACATTGTCTGCTCTTTTCAATAATTGTTACGTTGAATAACTTTGCAAAAGCAAGATGTTTTGTGGCCTATTTCCATCACTAATGATTTGGTTATACGAAGTTCAACGAAGTCTTCTTGCATTTTTTGAAAAATCTTATGTCTTTGTATTTTAACTTTTTTTTAAAAAAAGAAAAAGCCACATTGAAATCCTGATTCACAGATATAAAACATGTGCTCTGTCCTTTTCTTTCAGCTTGCCTTGTGCACTTTTTTCTTCATTTAGTTCATATTTTTGAAATACTAAATGAATAATTTCACTATAGATAAATATAGAAAAATATGTATGAACAAGAAATAAGACACTAATAACAGCGGAGCAAACAAAAAAAATCTAAGATAATAAAGTAACATCTTCCAATATGTCACTAAAGACTTATAAAATTGATGATGTTTCAACAGCATCCAAATATTCCCATGGGGCTTAAATCTAAATGGTTAACACAGCAGAAATCAGTAAGTCCATAAATAATAGTATAAAATCAATACTATAAGTTATACTGACAGTATAAGTATAATTTGAAACATCCTCAAATCAAGCTATTTAGATGGCTCTTATAGAACATTATAGTCCAAGAACAAGTACATTTTCCAATTAAATTTTAAATCAGATTTATTTTTCAATTAGAATATTATTTAAGAACACTCTTTCTTCCTAAGAATAAATCAAAGAACATTTCCAGTAAAAATCACATAGGATCTGTTGAAGGGCTATATGGTTTTGCACAATTTAATAACACTATTCAGGCTGTAAAGGAATTACAATTTTCCAATTTTTTTCCATTCTACTTTTAAACATTTCCAGTATTGTTGTATTTTGCAACATTGCTACCACACTTTAAAAAAGAAAAATGATCCAACCTCTAAAACCTTTTCCCCCCAACATTTTTGAGAAAAATGTTAAATATTAATTTTAGAAATCAAAACTGGAACATCATACCAAAGATAAAACAATTCTAAGTATAATTTTCAAAATATTTGATACTCTTCTATTCAAATTCCCACTTTGTACCTCTATCCTAAATATTCAAATTCTTCATCCATTTGATATACAATTTTTAACTTTTTCACATTCTGAATCATACTTTACTAATAATTTAAAACTGTGCCTTAAGGATGTTGAATTCAGTTATATCTCTCAGAGTTCTTTCTTTTGTACAGTAGTTCTTTTGTTGCTATATGGCTAGTTTGTTTGAAGTTGATGCACCGTGTATTTCACAGCATAAATAAAAGCTACCAAAATAAGAATTGGTAATTCATTATATATTAGTGGATTACAATTTATAACCCCCCCCCTCTCACACATACACACACACACACACACACACAGACACACACACTACATTGTTCAACAGTTTGCAAATAATTGAAAGACAATATGTTGAACTAGATTCCAGCAGGGGGCAGAATAGGCTTTTAATTGACATTGGACATATCCATTCTGTTTAGTGTCTTGTTTCTAAGACCTTTGAGATAGAACATCTGGATTTGACATGTAAGTTGGGGAAGTCCTGATTACTGCACATTTTGTGCCAAGTAACCAATCATAAGCGATTCGTGCCATAATAGAAACATTTCTTTTATAATAGATATGCAATGCTTTGTTAACTAGAACATGTGTGCTGATGAAAGCTAAGCTATCAGATCTGGTTTGTAAAAATCCAAGCAACTCTGACATCTAGTGGGTGTCTGGATTTTTGCAAAACAGATCTGTTCACCTTAGGAAAGACAGTACTAGTTTCACATCTTGCTGCACAAATTACATTGTGCATTTTCTGCTCATGGAGAGAAAGTATTGCCTTGAAAACAGCTGCCTTCATTTCATCAGGACTGCTTTACAAGAGGCAGAAATTATTTTGCCTCTTTCTTCTTCCTAGTTTAGAATGTTGCTCCAGGCAATGATTAGTAGTGCACACATCTAGTCCACTATTATAGCAGTATATACTAATCCACTGAGTATTACTATTGAATACCCTGGTGACCAAAACAAAGGTTTTTCATAGGGATCATTGTTCTGTCAAAAAACCAAGGAGTTTCTGTCAGTTCTGTTCCACCAACCTGTGCTTTTCAGTAGGAACACAAACATGAAAGCATGAAAGAATAAAATTCTCTGTCGGGACAATCTTCAGGAGTACCGTTTTCCCCACCATTTAAGTATTTTATTCCAATTTCTTGAACTATATAAATTGCTTTATTATAAAAATGGGACAACGTTGATAGATTTAATAGATCTCTGAAGACGTATCAGCTCAGCTCATCCACTCCTTCCTATGGAGCATTTTTATTCACTTTTGGATTGTTGCCTCTCTTCTGTCATTAGTCAAGACCTCTGTAAAACTGCCACAGAACTGTGGGATTGCAGGGCTTGGAAGAAAGATGAAGCGTCTGACCTTTAGAGATCTTCTCTTCCAGAGACAGCTTCCTTCAGGATCTTTTCCCTGAAGGAAAGGAAGGGCTTCCTTTGTACAACTCTGATTTCAGTTTCATGGCTTTTCCGAGGAACATTAAGCTGCCACTTTCCCAGACATGTACTGCTCCGATGTTGATGAATAACAGTTTGGAGCAAGAACTCTGTCTGACTTTAGAAGAATAACCTGGCCACTATTTCCCCCATCCAGCTATCCATTCATGCTGAGTCAGATAAATGGATATCCAAAGACAAGCAGCTTTATTACAGAATAAGAGATCACTACAAAGCAATGAGTGGGAAACTAGCTGAGCATGTGGTTAGAACCATCTGTATCACCAAGCATATTCCTAGCAATGAAAATACTGTTCTACACAGCTGAATCATTTTGAGGCCCTATTCTATTCATCTCCAATTTTATGCTCCTTTATTATTTGTTATTTAACCAAGGGTTTTTTGGTTTGGATTTTAATATGAACTGATCTAATTTGAATTCTTTAATGCTGTAGCCGGGAATTACTTCTTTTTAATTTTTTCACAATTCTTTAAGTCTTGTGATAAAATTCTGATTAAAAAATGACTCCATGTAAATGGGGGGCAAAAGAGTGGATTAATAAAACTCTAAAGAGATTACACAAAATCATATATTCTCTTTAATTCTATATGATTATGTATCATTAATTTAAAGTTTCAATTTCTAATACTCCTTCTCTCCCCTTCTCTATATATTTAATCAGAGAATATCACAGTATAAAAATTTAGACAAAAAGATTTATGATTTTGAACACTGTACAACTGGATTTGAAAACAGAATTGTGTGCAAATGATGAATATGTAATTGCTAAAATGGATGAATTTCAAAATTTGTTGTTCGAAATTTGAAACAGAACAAATGAAAGAATCTATGATAAAGCGGGCTAAAAAATTTAGTTATAATATACAGTTGGAGCAGTTGGAAAATATGTGATTGAAGGGTCAAAAGTTATACTATAATAAAGATCATTTTTATAAAATTTTCATCAGACAAATTGCCAAGGATGTATAAATGGTGCCTCAAATTAATGTAGGAAATGCAAACAAGAAGGTATATTTGATCATGTTTGGTGGACATTTAAAAAAGCTAGAAAATTATGGATTAAAATATATAAACTGATTCATGTGATTTATATGACAACTGCACCAAAATTATTTATGCACAAAAGATGGAACAATTCAGCACAACATACAAGGGAGGAATGTTTGTTGAAGATGATGAAACTCACTGAGATTTCCAAATTGACTTCTTTCATTAGAGAAAAGATAATATCTGCATTTATTGCTGACTGGAAATCCCATAGAGGTAGTTCTTGATTCACGGTCAATCACTAGCAGACCAGAGGTGGATTCCACTTTAGACTGGTTCGGCTGAGTAGGTAATAACTCAGCCTGCCATGCCCCCGAACAGCCTGCCACGCCCCTGAACATCTTATTTTTTTGCTCCTGTGCATGCGCATGTAGCGTGTCCCTGAGCGAACCAGCAGTAACAGAAGCTGGAACCCACCCTTGCAACAGATCCCAAAAAAGCTATCCCATGTTCTGATGTCTCTGCCCTCCTTGGCAGTCTTGTAACCACATTTCAGGTGCTTGGCAACTGGACTGCATTTATGGCCATTTGAAGCATCCTGTGGCCATGTGGCCATGATTTATGGCATTTTTGTTAAAAGCTGGCATTTACTTCAGGTTTCCCAAAAAATCCACTCCATAGCTTACATTGGGATTGCTTAATGACCATGATGTTTGCTTGACAATTGTGGAAATCACTTAATTGTTAGGAATATAATCTAAGGGTTGGGTTGGCAATATATAAATCATGTAACAATGTTGTACCTGTTTCTTTAAATCATAGTGCAAAATATGATTGGCAGCTGTTTTCCTCAATCGGCCATAAGAGGGAGCCAAAATGATTGTTAGCTCTCTGTTTGTTAGATGCTGGGCTGATCTGATCTGAGTGTTTTTGGAAGCTGGCTGTTAGAAAGTGCCGTGAGCTATTGTAAGTTTTGCAACTGCTAGCAAACTTTGAGTACTGAACTGATTATATGATACTGGACTGTGTTATTTGGATTATCCCTTAACTGAAAGACATTGATGACTGACTGTCTTATCCGTGTATGATTTGGACTGTTTGATGGACTCTGATGCCTCTATTTCCACGAAAGTAAAAGCCTATTTAAACTGCAGTGTCTCTGTGTGCTGACTTGTGTGTTCTCCAACACAACTCTCACAACGCTTCTCTGAATGCACTTGCCCTCCCAACAGTGTGTTTGCTTAACAACCATTGCAAAAACATCATAAAATCAGGCATAGTCATGTGGTGAATTCAAAG